GGGGGGGGGGGGGGAGAGGAGTAGAAGGATTGAAAGAAAGTTTGAGGCACCGTTGAGCATCGGGAAGAGATGGCGATTCTTTCTCGAGCTGTAACTCTCCGAGCCGACCGATCCGCGATGTCGGTGTGTGATACGTAATACGAACGGTACGAAGTACAAGAAAACTAGTACGGAGTGCAGTAGCGGCATTACACGTGCAACCGCTACCAACGACATGTGATCTCTTATTTTGTATGCACACACATGCACGACCTTCGCAATAAAAACCGACGAGGCATCGGATTCGTTCAATTCATTGTTGATTTGTCCAATCCTTTTCCTCCGTGCATTATTCATATTTCCGCAGAACTTCTATGACGCGAGCGTGGTTGAAGAGGCGAGAACCGCTTGAAGTACGAAACTAAAAGAAAAAGAAAGAAAAAAGAAAGAAGAAAAGAAGAACAGCAAAGTCGAGGACGCTCGATGCTTCTGCTATCTCATTAAATTGTAAACTTCAAGATGCGGCCTAAAGAAACGTGAAAATTTTCCATTTCCGATTCCGCCCGGTGGATCTCGAAGGAAGAATCTCCACCAGGCAGGTTGCCGCGTGCCTCACTTCCCGTCCATCCTCCTGACGCGCGTTATCGCGAAAATAACGATTGTTGCGAAAGATGTTTCACCTGTCGAGGGGATTCCGGTGTCAAAGAGTTCAGCTAACCGCTCTGCGTGACGGGAGGACGAATTGCATCACACGCGCCAATGGAAAGGCTAACTTCAGAACGGGAGAACGGCGCGTACTAACGGTTCGGATTGATTTATCGATGTGTGTACATACGAGGCTGCGCGACTTCGCGAATTCGCGCGACAAAAACGCTCGGCGGCAGTCGCGCTGAACGCCGCTTGAACGTTCCGCTTCGTTCGCGTGAAATACAGTATCCGAGATAAATGCGTTCTCGTGACGCAACGCGATGATGAAACGTATGAACTCTGTCGTTCCAAGACAAGCAAAACGCGGGGAGAGCCCAGCACGAGCGAGAACCTGAAGGAAGCCCTCGGCGAGAAGATCCCCTTGTATCACGACCTGCTGAGAAATTTCCGACGTCACCGTGGCCCGAGTATCATCAGTCATATCACGGTCGACGACCTGTACGGCGGATTAAGCGGCGTGAAAACTATCGTCAGGGAAACCTCGGAAATCGATCCCAAGCACGGCGTAATAATCGCGCGGGATGCGCTCTGAATTTATCGTCGCGTCGACCATCCTCCTTTGTGGAAACGGTCACGCGGAGTTCAACCGCTATATTCACTTTTTAATAACACCGGTCGACGAGAAAAATCGCATCCTGGATCTGAATCGACAATTCTAGTTAATTCCGTACTGTTATTCGCAAATGTAATAATTAGGCTGTGGTTTCTCAGTGGCGAGTCGCAAAATCTCTCCTCGAGTATTTATGACGTCGCCAGGCTTCACCCGCGAATTCGACAGGTCGTGTACCGTGGACTGACGATACCGGAGGTGATCACTCTGCTGCCTCGCCGAGGAGGCTTGCCGAGCGCCGAAGCTATCTTCTGGCTGCTTCTGACCGGTGACGTTCCGACACATCGGCAGACGGCTTCGCTGATCGCCGACTGGACGTCGCGGCGTCAAAAACGCGCCGAGCAGTGGTCAGGATCGCGAGGTGAGACCGCGCTTTCCGTTCTGCGTTCTCTGCCCGAGAGCGTCACACCCCTGGGCAGGTTGTCGGTCGCACTCACGATCCTCGACGTCAGCAAGTGCGCGAAGGAGGCCAAGAGACACGGCGCTATGCCGCACACTTACTGGGAGGTAGCTAAAGCTTGGATACTACTTAAACCCGGACGATCGCGCGAAAACTCGCGCGACATTCTTCTTCGAGATTTGCAGGACGTTACAAAATGTAACGTATGTGAAAACAGTTTGATTGGGAAAATATATAAGAGACGTTGTCGGAAAGTAGAAAATACATAATTAGAACCGCTGAAACAAAGCGGTGAAATAAAATGGGAGAGATAATGCAAGTAACGAAATTTACAATTTACAAAAATGTCAAAATTTTCGTTTTGTCGTATCCCTCGTAACGTCGCTCCAAAATTAAGACCAACATGGAGCAAGTAAAAATATTTCATTCGTATAGAACTCTTTTTTTCTTATGGAGGAATTTCTACCTAATGATGTGCTAATTAATGCATTGCGTACTACTTCGTTTCGAGTATGAGTATGAAGACAGTATGGAGTTCCTAGCGATGTTACCAGCGATCATCGGTCTGGTTGCGAAGGGACAAATATCGACGAAGGTGAGCAGCGACGGTGATTGGGTGCAATTCCTGTCGGAGTGCCTGACTAACGTGACAGAAAACTTCGACCGCCGAAAATCGTCAATCGTTGATTTTCTCAGACTGTATGTCACTTTAAACGCGTAAGTTCAATCACGGATTTGCGAATTCGTTCAAATATTATAAATTTCTGGCATAAAATATATATAAGTTTTCTCATTTGAAAAAAAAAACCTTTCTCAGTATAAAAACATATCTGTCAGTACAATGAATGAAAAAAGTGTTACATTCAAGTAAATAATTACTCCGATACTCCTCAGCAAATGTTTTACTTGGATCGAGTAAATATCACTTGAATGTAATATGTTTTTCTTTTAGTGTATAAGTAAATATATTATTAGTACTATCGAATAAATATTTTATATTTTTTGGATATTTTGTCTCTCGGTGTAGCAATCACGGAATGTATGTATATCGTTTAATTTAACAGATAAAGCAAAGAATAAAAATCGAATAAAAATTTTATTAGCGACGACGACGGCGGAGCTCCCGCCGCACACGTTACGCAAATTCTGGGATCGACCGATCTCGATATAAACGAGGTGTTAGCTAGCAGCGCTTTGGCATACACCGACGAGCCCACGAGCGGCACGATGCTACAGGTCGACATTAAAGGTCCTTAGAAATCAAAGGAAAAGATTGACTCTTTCTCTCACTCGCAATGTTCTCTCCATTACAAATTACAGTGGGAAGAATTGCAGACGAAAATCCGAAACGGGCTCGGCCAAAGTACGTGGACGGAGTATTCCTTGATAGATCGCGTGCTGAGTCTATGCGGCAAAGACAAATTAATAGGACACAAAGAAGCGGAGTGTTGCGACCCGCGTTACACGGTTCTGTTGAATTACGCCAAACAATATTTGCCGGATAATCCCGAAATAAAAGTACGCTTGCGCGCACTTTTCGATCGGGAGAAATATCTATAATAAAAAAAAAAACGTTTTTTTTTTCATTTTTTCACGGATTTCTTTTTTCACGGATTTTCTCGATTTCCTTTCCAAAGATAGAGACATTCATTTAGAAAAATTCACGTGTGTTCGGTTAAAACACCTGCTATATTTACTTTTTTTCGTAAAGAAGATAATTCTACACGAATTTTTCTACTTTTGGGGGTAAAAAAAACCGAAAACCCCGTGAAAAAATTGAGAATAAAACCAGGGCTTTCCGAGCCTTTAAAACTGTAGAATACTTATTTCTGTGAGGCTTAAAAATGATAAAATCGAAAATCTTCGCAGTTTTCACAGGATATCACACAAATACTGAGATCGAAGATGAAGAGGCCAAACGGAAAAGACATTTGCCCGGAACAAAGTGCCATAGCTGCGCCTATTTTCCGGGTAAATTTAACGTTTCAACATCTTTAGTATTTTTCTGACGAAAATTAACATAGAAACGTAAAATTACGTACGGACGCGGTGTTTTCTCAGACAAATTTCCATCTTAATAGAAATTAATCAAAATACGTCATGATTAATATGGTCAACTCTTGATTAGCCAATTACGGGATATCGACTTTAAAAAACCAGGATTCAACCAAAAAACCGGGACTTTTAATAAAAATGAATAAATGAAATAAACGTAGATAAATACGTGGAGAAAATATTGTAATAAAAATTATTATAAGAGTTTCTAATGCTAGAATATATCGGAAATATTGTCGAAGCCATGTGTTGTAATCTTTAGTGATATATACATACATGATATACATCATTAAAAATTACAACACACAAAATAATTTCGATAATAATTCCAGTATATTTCTTATTATTATTACAAACTTCTGCAGTAATTTTTATTACAATATTTTCTCCGTGTAAAACGTTTATTTATTATTATGTCAACAATCAAACAATCAATTGAACATAATTTTCTATTGTATTTTAATATAAATAATCATTAGTTTAATATTAGTTTAATAATCATATACATAAAAGACTAATAAAATTCTTGAAACAAGTTCTATCAGGACGCCTCTAATGAGAGACGAAAATCGCAATGTTCCGCAAAAATCGGGACATTTGGTCACCTTACTCATACGGTACACTTTATCCGAGGGACGTCCTGGGAACGTCCTTAGAACATAAGACATCCTCTGGACGTCTTTGGGACGTTTCTTTTATGTTGTATAAGTAGTCATAACGACTCACCCTCAGTCCTTAGGATTGAAAGATATGAGGTTCAATCAGACGATACTTTACATGGCGCGAACCTTGGGAGCGGTCGCCTCGATTATCTGGTCGAAAGCCGTAAATGCGCCCGTCGAGCATCCGATGTCGAGATGCACTCACAGCTACATAGAGAAGATTCAGGATAACGGAAGAAGGAGGCAAAAACGCAGAACGCAAAAGTAAATCTTCAACTTACCGATCTTCGTCGCTCATTCCTCGACTATTGATATTGTATCTTACGCTTGAATGTTGCCCCGCTGTCTCATACTCGAGCAGTTAATTGTTAGTGTGCAGAGTAACTACGTTTTAACAACGATAATAAATTGTATGTTAACTTTAGCAAGATAATCACACAGAACTCAAACGCGAGTGAGCCGCTCGTCAAGTAACGGACACGTTCGAGAGAGCGCAGGCGCAATCATCGCACAGGGCGCCACTTTTTGACACGTGTCGACATCTGGCGTAAGTTTCCTTATTTTCTAGGTAAAACAGATCTGTCGGTTGCAGTGTCGATAAATCTGTTCGTTTAAACTGCACTCGCTTACTTACACGCCTCATTTGTCATTTTGTTACTTCTCTCTTATTTGCCCTCGAAACTCGCACGACAATTGCATGGCATTTTAAATGTAATGCGATAATGTCAATGTGAATATTCTAATGTTTTACGATGCTTATTATGTTCTATCATTTATTCTGCACAGCCTTTTGATCACGTTATAATATTTACTCCAGAATGACATATTTCTCAGAAGAGAAATTATGCAGGAATGATGCTATATTTCAAATCTAACATTATTATAATAATAATATTATTATTATCATGTATTTTTTGCTATCGGCAACTTCGATCGCGTGACTTGTTTTGACGCAAAAAATGAGCGTCGAGCGTCAGCGTGAAAAGGCACCTTTAATGCATATACACAAGAGACCGATGGGATAAAATCGTCCAGGAATTCCCCACACTGGATCAAACTCCAATCGACGTAGTCCAGATAATTGCGAAAGAAAATGGCGTGACATCATGTGTGTTCTTACGTCAAAATTATGATAAATGCAAATTCAGTAGTCATTGATAAGCATTTACTACGATAAACACGTATTGCGTGACGAAACGTGTAACTGTTGAATTCCTTGACCACAGTATCGCGAAGTGAAGCGATGAGAAACTCTCGACGATCATAGCGGAGTCGCAGTGTGGTTATATTACACGGTAAACTTTCAGAGTGTCCTCAGAATCACGTTAATAATTAATCAGTATATATCAGCTGCCATTTAATTCTCCGCCTTATCTTTGAAATTTCCCATTGTAACATATGATAAGTATTATCCGTTATTCCGGAAGGTGTATCGATAGGTAATACAATAATATAACATAAAGTAACGCTTAAATCGTAGAAAATTCAATCCGGTAGCTAATAATGAAATAATGACATCGTTTTATAATACGCAAAATTGCGGCGTATCCACCGATCTACGAGTAACACATAGCTTATATAAAAATATTCTGCTAATATCCTTATCATCCAAATATTTTATGAATGTAATACTGCGCAATACGTATGCAAAGTTCCATCACGCACGTTAAAGCTATATATGAAAAAATGTTTTGTAGATAAAATATGGCTGACAACAGGCCGATGGAAGGAACAGCAGGAGCCAACTGTGATCCAACTATGCCGCATATGTCGGACACAGCTGAGAGCAGACAGGATCAAACGACCCAAAATAACGAACGCTCCGCATTGCCGCACATTTATGTAAATCCTAGGGCAGCATTTGAATTCGGCGCAAGGACTGCAGAACATTCTCGAATATTGGCGGATAACATATCATCTACAATACGTCCTCTCATACAACATGCGACAGTACGTACAGTATCAGATTAATCTTACTAACAAGGAAAGCAGCAATATTCCGCTCTCTAACGCTTCTTCCTCCTACAACAGCCTAGCATATCGTTCACGTCACTCTTGATGCACGGATTACAGTATCAAGTTCGACCGGCCCCGTTGCAAAGTCATAGCTATGTAATCAATTTGGAAGAGCATCCACCGGGCAGTACAGCTTCTCGAAACGAGTCCGTTCGCGAGCATCATGTGCACGAGACCGCAAATATGGTCGCGGAGGGGCAAAATAACAATAACAACACCATAGAAAATGGCATTGACAACAACAACGATCAGTTGAGCCCGGAGAGCCGCGCGATGGTGAAACTGATGCAGCAGTACATCCCTTTCCTCTTCATTCTTCTCACAAAGATTTTGTACGATCACAAAACCGGGATACTGATGGCCGTCGTACTACTTATCACGTTCGTGTTCGCCAACGACAATCTCAAGCGCGAGATCGCCAAACAGAACAACCGGAGCCGCTGGTTACTACTGCTAATCCTGTGTTACATCACCGCCTGCATCGTGTTCGTCGCTTATACACTCGAGTTACACACGCTCGCTCCCTACGCTCAACCGCTCACGATATGGGATTTGCTGTGTTACGTCATAGTGATGGATTTCTTCCTCAAACTTATAACCATCGTGTGCAAAGTACTCCTGACTTGTCTACCTGTTCGACTACTGGCATTCCAAAACCGAGTAAGTGTTGAAACTCCTCTTCTTAATTCTTCAATGTTACTGTTACTATTGTTACTATTGTTCAATGCATTATAATTATTTAATATTATGTTTCCATCGAATTTATTATTCTTATTATTATAAAATTCACCTCTTGATTTGCTCACAATAGATGTGTGATTAACCCCTTAAGCGGCAGAACGTTTCGGACAAAACGTGTCCCTGGGGTCAGGAGAAAAACAAAATACGTAAGATTTAAAAATATAATTAAAAATATAAACATGTAAAAATTTCCAGGGGAAGTATTATCTTCTGATGGAAGCAACGTCGCAGCTTTATCGGAGCGTTGCGCCCATCCAACCCTGGCTGTACTATTTGTTCGAGACGTACCAGGGTCCGGAGAAAATCGTGGGGATCCTTTTCTCCCTAACTTATACCTTTAGCAAAGGGAACGACTTGCTACCGCGTCTCAAGCTGTTTCGCAACGCTGTGTGGAAACTTTTCCAGAACGTGGTACATCGAATACTTTGTCAAAACTATACAATTGTATTTCGGAGATTTGTGACGTTATCGCAATGTTATCTATAACGTGTGTTGTATAAATGTTGTATAAATGTTGAATCTTTTTCGTAGAACTTGGGAGTGTCACCGTCGAAAGAACAGCTGATTGCATCCGGCGGTATATGCGCTATCTGCCACGAGAAATATTCCACACCGGTCAGGCTCCATTGTAAACATATATTCTGCGAGATGTGTATCTCGACGTGGCTCGACAGGGAACGATCGTGTCCGCTGTGCCGTTCGTCTATCACGGACGACCCGATTTATCGGGACGGCCATACGACACAGTTCATCCAAATGTATTAACTCGTCTTGGCGGACACCTCCTTTTGTACAGTCTTTTTATTTCTACTATTATATGTAAAAAAAATTAAGAGTTCCCGTTAACGAGCGCTCTCCACGTTCTGTCGTCGATTACGATCGACAGGATTTTGTATATTTTAACGAAATCCAACTACTGATGTCAAATTAGTTATACCGAGAGAAAAGGAAGAGCTTGATTCCAAGGTCTAGGAATATTCGAATGTATGCAGAACATTGTATAATAGTGGTGGGCATGTGTGTAAGAATCGTATAAATGTTGCAATTAAATGGAAAAATAATTATATATATATATTAGAGCAAGAATAGTGAAATATTTCTTTATGATAGAAATTAAAACAGGTACTATTCTGATAAGTTCGATCATTGATTCGTAATTGTGTTAAGTATGCAAAAAAAGGTCTCTCTCATGTCAATGTCATTTTCAAATTTGCCAATCGAGAACATTTCTCAAATATTGTCAATTTCATTTGTATTATTTATCCATGTTCAAGTCTGAACTTATCAAAATTATATCTGTGTAAATTTTGAATTTATAGATATGTAAGATATATACAAACTCTTTCGGATAAATTGATATCCGGAACCGTCCTTTCACATTCACTTTTCCAAATTACTATGTAATGTATATAGCTATTACAGAGAAAAGGTATACTGTAGGAATTTCACTTTGATTGCTTTACACGATTTGTGTCTTCCTTAGGGTATAAAATAGCGTGTAAGATTAGATAACAATTCTCGCCTCTGTGCTTTGTTAATGTACAAAGTAAGAATTAATAAATAAAAGTTACAGTCGCAATGTTACAAGCTTGGTACACAGTTTTTCACATGCTGCATCCACACTGTGTACGATAACTCATAGAGCTTTCTTAACACCTCTGCAAGTTTTGTATACAAGTATTTTGCTATGTACAATGTTGCTATTTAAATGTGCTTCTCACATTTCGAGTTCAACATGATTACGTTGATATAACGATATGTTGCGCAAACTGCGTGTAAACAACAGGACACTATTGAAAACAGTGTGTCAAGATACTATATATACGTCACGTCTCAGTTGGATTCCGGATTTCACTCGAGTCGCTCGAAACTTATATTTTAAAATGATAAAAAAACACACAACACACAAGACTTGTATCGCGTCTTCCTACACGACATAATTTTTAAGAAATCTCAACAAGCGATAGGAAATCCAATTTGGATCCAACACACACACACGCACACACATACAAACTGATTTTCAGATAAAATAGAAATTCTCCCCCATAGGCCGAGAATCGGCGTCTTGAGTCGCGTAGATAAATTTTCACGCCATTTTCTATTCGAAAGTGAAAAACGGTACAATAAAAAACAAACAAAACATTTACCAGCAAACCTTAACTCATGAAGTTATAATTTGGCACATCCTCGAACTGTTGATTCTGCGCATTAGTCGGTGCCATTGGCCTCGTTGCCATCTGTCCCCTTGGACCGACCATTTGCTGCTGCATCCCGAACACCTGTTGCCTATACTGAGGTTGTGGCTGCAACGAGGAAATATTAATTGCCGTGTGCACTTCGCACGCACATTACGGGGAATGATGTAAGTCAAAGCTGAGCTCATCACCTGTTGCAATAAATGTCTGAGGCCAATATTGTTGGTGGGAACGGGACGCATCAGTCTTTGAGCGTTCGCCTGTTGGTTAGGCATATTAGCGGCCGAACCGAGGCTTCTCTGTGCCTGTTGCGCCTATAAAAGAAAGAACAGATGACGTTTAGAACAAATTTACCGTTTATTGCTATTTATCGTTGATTAAAGTTGACAATTTCACCTCGAGCTGCTGCTTGTACTGCATTTCTTGTTGCTGCGCCACCTCCAGATTTTGTTGAGTCTGGATAACGATAATTGCAATTACAAACCTACTCTCTCTCTCTCTCTCTCTCTTTCTCTCGACACAATCGGTGCCGTTCATAATTTAAGAATACATGTATATTTACATTCACTTCCAACTGCGACTTGTACTCCGCCTCTTGCTGTTGAGCGGCCTCCAACGTCTGCCTCAAATGTTGAATCTTCAACAGATTCTGATGCCTGGCGATCTCGAGATCGTCAACGAGCTGAGGCCGTTGCTGGGCGATCATACCTCCGGCACCGACGTTCGTCTGTGGTCCACTAATACCACTGTTCTACGGGCGTAACGTTACGTTTAGCATCCCGAGACCGATTACTTCGCTACTTAGAAATTCAGAAAACACGTTCGCGCGTTACCTGCATATTCATCTGAGGGACGCTGCTGGACACAACGCTCTGCGTTATCTGGGCACCGCCCATCGCCGTGGTGTTCGTTTGAGACATAAGAATACCTCCCTGCGAACCTGTGGTAGACATAGGCGTTGGAATCGTGTTCCCCGGTCCAGGATTGGCCTGATAAAATGGACACGATTAATCTCAAACGCTTCTCCTTGACTTGTGTGCAAAATTAGTTTGGCCTTTTATGTCATTGCGCTTACCTGCGCCTGTCTCAGAGTAGCATGGGACGATTTCTGCTGTTGTATCACTTTACGCAGCCGTTCCACAAAAGCACCCTGATCATTCGGTATAAAACCCAAGTACGATTTCTTCTCGGCTGTATACAAGAGTATCAGCACTTTTATCTCGCAAGGTGGACTTTGCGGAGTCGTCGAGAAATGGACGCAACCAGCCTGAAAAAGTTCCAATTATTTTTTTCCGTTATATTATTATTATTTTATGTTATTATATACATAGGGTTTTTTATAATACACTTACAAATCCGGCGGTCATCATTTTTGTTAGGGATTCTAACGCCTCGCATGGCGTGGGATGGAAAATAACGGACTTGGAATTCTTTATGTAGGTACCGCCGATACTCCCAATTAATTGTTTCGGCATCAGTTGCATTATCAATTTTGACGGCCACGTGTCCGTTTTCCTGAGAAGTAAAAATCAAATAAAATAGAAACACTGATATAATTTATATGAGACACATAATACGACAAGTGTAATACTAATAATGTATAACTGATATCGTTAGAATACGATGACTCACAATTCCGGCTCTCCGGGTTTATAATTAGTCGACACCTGACACGGCACGTGTCTCGTGTGTTTCTGCGTGTCGTTAGGATTCTTGGCCTTTTCCAGCCATTCTATAATACCTTGCCAGATGTTCTGACGCTCGCGTGACATGAGCTGTTGACCCTGCGCAGCGCCAGCGGACACATTGCCCTGGAATGGCATATGTAACGGAAAAATATTCTTAACACACGCCAAGAAGCTTGCTTATATGCAAATGCAATCTCTAATTACCTGTGTCTGAGGTGGAGCGATCTGTTGTTGCGTAACGGAGGACGTAACTGAGACCGGCGCTTGTTGTGGAGGAGCTGCGACAGTTTGCGGCACTTGCGTAGGCACTGACTGGCTCATCGAGGATACCGTAAGCTGCGGCTGATTGTGAGCCGATTGAGCCATGGACATTGCGGCTTGCTGAGCGTTCTGTTGCTGTATTTGCATCGTTAATCGCAGCTGTTGTTGTTGCTGCTGCTGCGTAAGCTGTTGCTGTTGTTGTTGCGGATTAGGCGCCATTACAACATTATTGCCTGTTGAGATGAGTATTTCGTTTTTGAGTCACTTTCGCACGAGTAAATAATATGCAGCACGAATGGTGTCGGTATTCTCTCACCATCTAATCTTTGGCCGAACGTAGCCACGTTGAGCCCTAACGAGGGCGGCTGTGTCAGTTGCGCTATTAACGCGCTGCTGTTCTGCGTATTTGTAGGTGCGGTAGCGGCAGGCGTTATGAAAGGTCGTATCCATCTGGTGTGCGTCGCCCTCGGGCCCAATCCGGTCGGATGATAATTCGGCAGGGCGGCTATTTGCGGATTGTAAGGCGGTCGCGCGACGTTCGCCATCGGAGCCGCCATGGCCGGCGTCACGGTTTGATGGTTGACGGAAGCGATGTTCTGAGGCGCTTGATTTCTGAAAGGAGGACCCTGCGCAGGTTGGCTCGGCGGTGCGATGTTTTGCTGCACTTGGTTTGTGTTCGGGCTATCGTTGCTCTGTAACGGGCTCAAAGGGATTTGGCTAATGGTGGTAGCGGCCGTATTGTGAACGTTACCGGCAATCGCAGGGCTGACAGGACGTTCCTTTAGGTTGTAGTTACGCAGTAGCACCAAATGTCGCGGATCCTTGGCGTAATTCTTCGTTTGCGACGACTGCAAATCACCACCGGCTTTCTCGAACAACTTATATAATGCTGGGATTTTCCTTGGTGATAATATAGAAATATTAATGTTCCTCTATAAAATAATATACAAACATGTAACGTATGTTCAAATATTTGGGGCTCGTGATGCTTACAGCTGCGTTGCTTACCTCTTGGTAAATGACAGCCAATTGTTCGATAGTGTGGCCGGCGAACTCGTAAGTTTCTTGAATCATAATTTGATACGGAGGTGAATTACATATTAAGATGCAATGTTTCTGAGATGCTGTCTTGTGTTCTCGTTTCAACTGCAAATCTTCGAAACACTGTAACCCTGTTGCGAGACCTTCGCCTATATTTGCATAGGACTCTCCTTTCCCACCAACCATTCTAGTAAACACAATATCGCAACATAGTTAAGACGTTTGATATTATAGTTGATACTATACAATACAGTTAATAAAGCACTCATTAATAGACAAAATATATATATATAGGATTTGATTCACAAAATATAAATTATACTTACTCAAGCTTATCCATCATCATTAATAGCTTATGAGGATTTGAATAAGGTCCAAAAGTCTCTGTGCAAGGCGCTGGCAGGCAATCAGCAGCATGATAAACAACTATTCCATATAATGTTGCACCATTCTATTATATAAATTCCAATTACATCATAATATAATCTAACTTTTATATATATCGTGAATACTATGGAAAATATAAACTTAATGTAATATACCTCAGACACATATTCTCTATCCTCTATGACACCTTGACTAAAATACCTGTAAGAAATATAAAAATAAATTGACAAGGTTTTTTATAACATATATATATAATCTAATACTTACTCTAATGTTGGTATAATATAACTTGTTTTAAGGTCATTAAGGTATGCACCGTTAACAGCCGTTCCCTCAATGACAAATATAATATCAGCTTGCATCCCTTCGATAGGACCTATTACCATTGTCCTATAGTAAGAAATCTAATATATCATCTTATATATTATCTAATCTATGACATCTAATAAGAATTTATAAAATTCTTTTATGTATTACATTCTATTTTTTACCACAGCCAACTGATCGTTGCTGTTTTCTTCATATTCTACATTTGAATAAATTAAAATTAAATTTAATAACATTTGTACATTTGTTCAGGACAATCTGGACTATATATAATCTAAACGAAAATAAACATAACCTAATAAATACATCACTACTGATAAAGAAATGCGATAAGTTGTTTTTTTAAACTTACATTCAGTTATATAAAACTTGCGGAAAGGCCAGCTAAAGAATTCACGTGTATCCCAGCATTTGACATAAAATATGTACAATCCAAGAAAATTTCTTTTTCTTTATGAAAACTGGCAAAAAAGACACATTATATATTGTTACGTACGAATACGTAAACTTTACGTTCGGAATACTGGAATATACACTATCTGGAACACACGCTGCCATACGATAGCACGATAAATACAGGGGATGAAGAGACAAGTCCCTCGTTCTTCTCTCATCCTTAACTGGCCCATAGTGTAGTCTGGAGTGGGGAGGTGAGGTAAAGGCCTCCACACATGCTGTCTATTCTTTTTAGCTGAACTTGCCGCCACTAGTTCAAGAAATTTACATTGTCGCGTCCACGAATTGAGTGGATACAGAGAGGCACCTGAGAGCGGCGTTTTATGCTTGATATCGTTTTATACGATCAGTAAAGTTTGCACTGATTGGTCAAATTTCACTTCGATCTCAATCTCCGATACGTAGTCCGATATGAGTTTAAGTATGAATCGTGAACCGTAACCTGTGAATATCGGCCTCAAACGTCTACTTAGCTGAGACCCAAACCCATTGCGTACAACGAGTTTACGGCAACCGCTAGAGGGCATTAACCGGTTCATTAATGTCGCAAAAGTGCGATAAATCAGAGAAACGGAGAGAGCAGTAATCGAATTCGTAGCGTTATAAGGTTATCCAGAGCATTTTTGCACTTATATTTTATAAATATACAACCTCTTCGAGTTTTATACACAGTGTCTGGCGTTGCGTTTTTTTTGTGTGCGATATTTCGTCAAAATATGACAATTTCGAGTGACCGTGAATTTCCAGTGTCGCGCGAACGTACATTCCGCGATTTTGTGCAAAATTTCACGTATCGTTTGTAGTCTCTTTTATATTAGTGTGCGGTATATAACTTTGATTAAATAATATATATGTTAACGAATATTTGTATCGTTAACGGTGAATATTTTGTCCACTCGATGAGGTTATGTTATGTCTCTGGGTGTGTGTGTTGAGCGTCTATTGTAATTACTGGATATTTCCAACTGTATAAATTAAATTTACAAGAGAGATTATACGAGTAACTTTCTGTATAATTTTGGCTAAATTACTGATGGTTTTATTATTTATTCGTATTTATACGTTGAATTTTTAGAGAATATGAGTTATATGAAAAATGTATTTAATCACCTTTTTTCTTCCTTAAGGCCGAAGAAGAAATGGCACAAAGATTTCCTGTGCCAAATACAGGAAATAATGGGCCTCCTCCTCAGAGATATCCACCATCATCTGTACCGCCAAATTTGCGCCAGTATTCTGGACCTAATTTTACGGTAAATCTAACTCTGACATATCGTTAGCATATAAAATATATATCTTTAGATCATGATGCAATTATGTTGATATGGCACAAATTATATGAATAAATATAATTATACATGTGTATATACATATATATATATATATAAAATTCTGGTAAATATAATTATGATTCTTTCATAGATGCAGCAAAGATCTGGCTTTACACCACCACCTCAAATGGGCAATGCTGGACCTGGTCCTGGAGGTATAATGAGACCGAACCAACCTTACTCAAACATGCGTCAAGGGCCAATGCCTACACCCGCAGTTGGAAAGAGAAGTGCTGACCAACGTATCCCTATGTCACAGCAAAAACCGTGAGTATAATAGGCATTGAAGAAAATTTGAAATTCTTATACTTTTCTTGCTGTACATATATCTTTGAATGTTTATGTGTTTCCAACTTATTCATTTGTGCAATTTCTCCTTGTGGATTTATATATTATTTCACCACCTTTCACATACAATATTATTATAAAAATCTAATCTTTGCAACTGAACCACTTAGACACATTCAATTTAAGAAGTATTCCAAAATTATTCATAATTTTCGTATCTATCAAGTTTCCAAATAAACTCAAATATTTTGGAACAGTGATTTTTCACATTCCACATCGAAGAAGAAGAAGAAACTGGCGGACAAAATACTGCCTCAAAAAGTACGAGATTTAGTGCCGGAGTCACAAGCTTACATGGATCTGCTTGCATTCGAGAGGAAATTGGACGCGACCATAATGCGAAAGCGGCTCGATATCCAGGAGGCTTTGAAGCGTCCGATGAAACAAAAGCGAAAATTGCGGATTTTTATCTCGAATACATTTTATCCGGCCAAGGAAGCCGGCGAAGGGGAAGAAGGATCTGTGGCATCCTGGGAACTTCGAGTCGAAGGTCGTCTTTTGGATGACACGAAAAATGATCCCAATAAGGTACAATGTCGCAACGTAATAATCATAATTGCCACGTTGAACGTGATAACTCATATTCTCTAAAAATTCAACATATAAATACGAACAAAACTCCACACATTGTTTAGTGTGTAACGTGATCTTTCATAAACATATAAGACGTATTGTTACCTTACAATATGTAAGAAATAATAATAGCCTTGTTCGTTATTCACGCAGGTGAAACGCAAGTTCTCGTCTTTCTTTAAAAGCTTAGTGATAGAGTTGGACAAGGACTTGTATGGTCCTGACAATCATCTGGTTGAGTGGCATCGTACATTAACCACCCAAGAAACTGACGGCTTTCAAGTTAAAAGACCCGGTGACAAAAACGTACGCTGCACCATACTTCTGCTCCTTGATTACCAACCGTTGCAGGTATTTTCTTGGTTTACATGAGACCCACCATCGCCAGTTGATCCAATCCAAGTTATTAATTTCGAAATTAATTTTATCGCAGTTTAAGTTGGACCCACGACTAGCGCGATTATTAGGTGTGCACACGCAGACACGGCCCGTCATTATATCCGCTCTCTGGCAATATATAAAAACGCACAAGCTCCAGGATAGCCACGAAAGAGAGTTTATCAACTGTGATAAATATTTGGAGCAGATTTTCGCTTGTCCGCGAATGAAATTCGCCGAGATTCCACAACGACTGAATCCGCTGTTGCATCCGCCCGATCCTATCGTGATAAATCATGTCATAAGTGTGGAAGGTAAGTGAAGAGCGAAGCTATTATTTCATGGAAATAATATCACGCCTATATACAGGGTGTCCCAGGTCAACACGGGTGAAAAATGCAAAAAAACGATACGAGACTTTTTTGTTCACCTCAATCCGTTTTATGCCCTCACGAGCTTTGTCCGTGTCATCTGGGACACTGTATATATATCGACCTATATTCTGAACTTCCTCTTATCGATAAAAATGTCTTGTTAAGCGTGACTTCTCGACTAATCGGGCAACTCCTAAGATACTTTTGGAAGCACTTTTATCGATATAAGTGGATTCGGAATACGGGCCATAGTGAATACGATCGTCTGGAAGATAAAATTATCAATTATCAATATATCGCAATCATATCGCAGCTAAAGCCAAATCACGGATACTCATGTGAAATTTTACTTATGTAGGCACAGAAACAAAGCAAACTGCGTGCTACGACATCGACGTGGAAGTCGACGACACGTTAAAGACACAGATGAACAACTTCTTGCTGTCTACCGCGAGCCAACAAGAAATCCAGAGTCTCGACAATAAGATTCACGAGACGGTCGAGACGATTAATCAATTGAAGACGAACCGTGAATTCTTCCTGAGTTTCGCCAAGGATCCGCAACAGTTTATCAACAAGTGGATCATTTCCCAGACCAGAGATTTGAAAACCATGACGGACGTCGTTGGTAATCCGGAGGAGGAACGAAGGGCCGAATTTTACTATCAGCCGTGGGCGCAGGAAGCGGTTTGTCGTTACTTCTACACGAAAGTGCAGCAAAAACGGGCGGAATTGGAGCAAGCGTTGGGTATCAGAAACTCGTAAAGAAAAAAAGAAGAAAACTGTCGGAATCGTATCGGCGGTCCCTTGTCGTAAAATTATGTAAAATATTCGTAAGTGTTCGCAGCCTATTACTTAGAACACAGCGCTATTACATCTTGTCCCTTAAAACATATATTTGTAATATTATTATTTGTAATACGTACTAGAAATTGATCTAAATATGAATAAAATCACATTTATCTATTGTACAAGGTAAATTTTACGGATATATATATATATATATATAAATATGCGTAAATTTTACGCATATATTTATATATATTTATATATATATATATATGAAATAATGTGTGTGTGAAAATAAAAGTACGAGAAAATGAACTTTCCTCTATGGTTTATATGACGAATCTTACAATGACGGATTTCGATGAAATTTTTGTCCGAAAAAATATTAGTTTATCTTACTCGATCATACACGATGAGAGAACTCGTGATCGACGAGAAGAGTAACGCGACTTCCGGTGTCTATCTTGCGTAATAATTTCTGTTAGACTTTACAGGGAACACTGATGTGTCAGGCTTCCGCGAGGAGGAAGACATGCTCGACTTGGCTTCCGGGTTGGTGCCGCGCATCTTTCGTGGATTTATTTCGTTAACGTTTCACTTCTTCGGGGGAAAAGAATAATTCAAAAGCAGATTGTTCAGATTAGACTTAGAAGTTTCAAGTTCTCCTCGAATAAGTGAACTGAAATACTGCAGAAACAAATCCACGAGGCAGCAACTCGGAAGCTAAACTGAGCAACATGATTGATAGTATTTGATGACTTCCTGCAGTTTATTTTTACATATATCGTGCACTCGAGTATATAAAATAATTGTATTTGAAAAACTCAGTCTTCATGATAATTTATTTCTTCTCTTATCATAAATGCAATATCTCTTGTATAAATAAGGATATAATTACATATCATTTTCCGTACCGTTGTACACATTTACTATATCTCTCTAATACATACGCGAAATCTTTCACCGTGATTCTAACGTACAGTGGCAGCATTCTGAAAAAAGAAACAAAAAAAAACCAATTACGGTTACAATTGGGTGAAATGAGAATCGAACTGTGGGGAGCTCGCGGATGTACAGGTTGACATATTCTTATTGTTGCGATCGGAACTTACAAAAATTCTGTCGTTCTTGTGTGCCACGGTAGGAGACCATGTGTGGAACAACTGTAGCCGTATATTAAAGCGAGATCGGGATCGGGCATCCCCTTTACTTGTAACTTCTCAGTGATTAGTTGGTCCGTAATTTCTTCCGGATCAAGTTTCCCCGTAGACACGGCCTTCGCCAATGATTGCGTTAACGTTACTATTTTCCCTTTACCATCTACGTCGGATAAGAATGATACATTTATTTTCGACCTGCTGCCTGTAATTTAAGCATCATAATATGGATAACAATCGTCGTCGGGATAGCAACGACACCGTTGATTTCACAGTTCCGGGTAGCACAAAGTCCAAAATCGAGACACAAGACGTCTTTAAGCGGTGTCTACAATGAGAATTTAAGACTTGAGCCTTAAGAAGATTGACCAATCACGGCCAAATATAAGAAGAATAATCGATTGTGATTGATCAATTTCTTAAGGCTCAGATCTTGCTTTTTCAATTCCCACTGCAGACGCCGTTTTAAAGACATCTCCATGACGTCTTATGTCTCGATTTTGGACATTGTGCTGTTCGGATATAATAAAAAGGCGACGACGGTTTAAAGTAGGTTACAGGAAAAAAATAAAACAGCTAATGCAACGTTAGTTATCAATGTTTGAACATTACTATAATTTTAGCTATACATTATGCAACGTATGACGTGTTCTACATTACATGTGCACGCAATTTTTGTTATCGCCTCATTATTCATGTCTAACGTCTAACAGTAAAGCGCGTATGTTTCTTGAAAATGATGAAATTGGAATTCCGAGTAAACTTGGTTAAAAACTTGTTTCTCTCTCTCTCTCTCTCTCTCTCTCTCTCTCTCTCTCTCTCTCTCTCTCTCTCTCTATTAGTAATAATTGCGAGTCTTCAGAAAATAGAAAAAAAGATATATACTGTACCATTAGTTATTCCATTTTGACTAGGTGCCTTTGTATATGAATTCCAGGTAATATATTCTACTAAATCAGGCCACTTTTTTGCAAACTGTTCTTTAAGATTGCTTTCATTTCTCTTGAAGAAACCTGTAAAGATAACATAAATTGCTTAAATTTAGAATTTAGAGTAGCTTAATATAGTTAAACATATTAAATACTGAAAAATTTGTACTTTCTATTGTTATTTACATTTGCGATGACGTTACAAGTTAGCTTCTTATTAACTGATTTCTCCCACTTATAATCGTAGAAATTATATAAACAAAACTTCATATTGCACGGAATTTGCATGTTGTATCGTAATTATAAAAATAATCATAATTTCCACGTGATAACATGAAACCAATATATACAACAGATAATAAAACATATCGCGCTTTCTTTGTGAAATGGTTAATAACTGAGAAATGTTATAGACTATTGAATTACGCTGACTCAAAGTTACCTACATGTTATTGTAAAATCATTCAAGCTTTGCATAAATAACTTGTCATATACTTTAAATGCAATATGTTCATGCATGAGTAGACTTACATTTGTATTCCACATTTTTGCGTCATATAGACAGAAAAAAAACCTTTGTACGAAAAGTTAATGAACAGTAATACCGAAAAATAAGATGTGAATGCGACATCGTATTCGCATACAATATTTATGATGTACAGACAATTCTAATTTTACTCTGAACTAGAATATTTTATCACACATCATGTAATATGATTCTGTCTCTATTATCAATCGCAATCTCGCTAATTTGACTTTACTGTGATATATTATGACATTACCGAGATACTACTAATCCAATATATAGTAGGATCTTATATGTAGGACCGTCTTAAATTCACCTTCAAATGCTGTACGGCTTGTTTTATTAGCTATATCTGAAAATAAACTTAAGAAAGTCTCAAATATAAGATCTGAATACCATCCTAAAAGATATTACTGTTTGATTTGATGTGAAAGACACACACCATGGCTATGTTTATATATTCACTGCTAATATTGAAAATTGTGTGTGTGAAAATCCTTTGTCCAGATTTCTTTTGTTTTGCGATGAATAGAACTACCTGTTTGGCCTATGGAGTACTCTGGAACTATAAAAAACAAGCTGGAACTTTAAATACTTCCCACAAAGTGAGACGCCAGCTTCACACACACATACACACACACACCTGAGAATTTAAAATACATATGACATAAACTGTAGAATTATAGATTCTCATTACTGACAGTGAATATATAAACACATTTATGCATGAAAAACTTTATACAAACATACTTCCGTCATAATACAGTAAATCTTCGAAGAAAACGTATGACATGTGCGTGAAGTGGAACTATATATAGTATATAATCTACAGCGCGATATCTCGATAGTTCCAAAGTGCAAAATACCGGATAAGAATTTACGGTCGATTTTCGCGATGAGTCACACATGTTTCCGAGAAACAAGTGGGTACAACGAGTTTCAACGGCCACGTAAACGTCATACACAACGTGACGAACGCTTACATTTCCTCTCTTTTTTTTCCTTCACGCAATATATCGCAAGAATCACACACCACACACACACACACACAAATACATAGAGATACATAGTGAGATACCAAATCGCTTTACCATTACGGTCAAAGAAGCTGATGTAAGGTATGTCAAGCGTAATACACCATCCAATGATACGCACACAGTCCAGGAGCGACTGGTCGATCACCTGCACGATCACCAGGTGTCTTGGCATCTTTTTGGCACGCGCGAGCGTCCGTACGATCGTATCGAGCTCCGTCGTCGAGCTCGCGGCGCACCAGAGGTCCGCGTAAACCCGTTGCAGCGCGGCCCAGGCATAACAAAACCCGATGTAAAGGCGATGCACGAGTACTAACAGCGCACGTAATAGCGTGTACATAATGTTGTTGGCGCGCGCGCGATCGCGTTTCTATACAGCATAATTCGCGTATAACGCGAACACGGTGCACGACACACAGGGTTCAGGTACGCCGTAGAGTAGCTCGTGGAACGTCACGAGGATGCTCGTGCACTCTCGCTCTTTCTCTCTCTTTCGACGCCGACGCGCGTTACAACAGTGGCCGACGAGCGCCGCGAAGCTCGGCAGCTGTGACTCCCTCACGTGCGTTCAGCCGGCTCAGCGCGCGCGCGACACCTGAACGGGGACCTTGAGCGAGGAGGTCTTACCTCGTATACCGGAGACCTCCTTCGGTGATGCGACGCGTCGTCCTGTTATCGAGCGGAAGTGACACGTCGGTATAACAGTGGTCGAGGCCGAAGAAAGAGAAAGAAAGAGAAATACTTGAGTCAGTGCCATTATACATCCGGGGATTTATCTCTAAATCTAGGATTTTCAGGAAATCCCGGGATACAGGGGTAGATTCTTGATCAAATTCTCCAACCATGATTGGTCAATTCTGCTTAACGGCGAAATACGACTGATCGATTTCAATACATTTAACCGTCGATTAACCGGACTTGATGAAAGAGACTCAAAATGTGTTAGAGTAAAATGTTGAAAATCGAGCGATTTTCCGCTCCCTGATTGGGAATAAAAAGAATAAAAGGGATTTTTATTTTTCCAACATTGGCGACGTTGATTCGAGTACGTCATGCAGTCTGTCCTTCTTGGCGCCGAGCGTAGCCTCGACTCCAACACTTCGTGATTTTGAAGGACTCGTCGTCAGTGCTACCTGTCAAACGAGAAGCGTTGAGAAACCAGCGCTGCTCGTGATGTCATTGTCGATGTTATCCCGACGAGATCTGTGACGATAGCTCGAAATTGGTTGCGAGACGCGACAGAGTGTCTGATAAGATCGCAGGTTTCGTGACGTTTATGCACTCCCGTTCCTGTAAATAATAGGTACGCCGATTATGTTAACAAGGATACATGTTAAGTAATAAGCAACAGCGCGTTATCTGTTCGTTTGGCAACGCGTTGGACAAATATTATCAAACAACGCGATCTCGATCATCTCCGAGATCGATTTAACCTCTAAAGATCGTGACTCATGCAGTACCTGTTTCTCAATATCAACTTAATGTCCCGGAGAGATTTGCACGGGAAAAATACATGTGAACCGATCGATGCAATGATACAACGCGATTAATTTGCATTGCGATATGTTCGCAACTGGTATAGGTGTTAATCGCAATTTTAACGTAAGCGATAAGTCGCATCTTAGGTGACAGTTTATTTTCGTTCTTATTTACCGTTGATTTTGGCCGATACGTGTGTTCCGGTGAATTCGTCGGTTTACTTCGTGGTCTCACTCTATTTCTACGTAGAATCATGGAGTGGCTGTTCGGCAAGCGTATCACCCCTGAGGAAATGCTCAGGAAAAATCAGAGAGCGTTGAATAAGGCGATGCGAGATTTGGACAGGGAGAGAGTGCGAATGGAGCAACAGGAGAAGAAAATCATAGCGGATATTAAGAAGCTTGCTAAAGATGGACAAATGGTATAGCCATATATATATATTATATTTTGTTCTGCTATACATATGTATGCAATATTAAAGTTTCCGAATCACCGTAGGATGCTGTGAAAATTATGGCCAAAGATCTCGTTAGGACTAGGCGTTACGTGAAGAAGTTCATGCTTATGAAAGCGAATATTCAAGCGGTATCCTTAAAAATACAAACACTACGTTCCCAGAACACAATGGCGCAAGCAATGAAGGGAGTGACGAAAGCGATGCAGAATATGAACAAGTGAGTGTAACTCAAGCATCGATTTACCAAACATTCTTATCGCAATACCTGCTAATATCATTGATCCGCATTTACCGGAAATATATCAAAGCGTAATCAACATTGTTTACAGCACAGCTGTAAAATTGAATAATTTTATTTCTCTACACTTTTATTTGGTCCTCATCGCGATTCCCTTTTTGCAGACAATTGAATTTGCCACAAATACAGAAGATATTGCAAGAATTTGAGAAACAGTCAGAGATCATGGACATGAAAGAAGAAATTATGAACGATGCGATAGATGACGCAATGGAGGATGAAGGGGATGAAGAAGAGAGGTATCGAGCATTCTTACACACATGTATTAGTGTAGTCTTATGTTAACCTCACCATAGAAATAAAAAGGGATTATTGAACTTTCCAATTCCTCATTGTCAGCTCAGAGGTATAAACATTATTTTACTTTTGCAGTGACGCTGTGGTCGCACAAGTATTGGATGAGTTGGGTCTGCAGTTGACGGACCAGCTATCTGGCCTACCGCAAGCATCTGGATCACTGAGTGTAGCTGGTTCTAAACAGCCAGCCGCAGTGGCAACTGGCAACGAGGAAGGTGGCGGCAATATCGCAGACGCCGATGCGGATCTACAGGCCAGACTCGAAAATTTGCGACGCGAATAAGTTGAGATTTTAAGTTCTATATATAGTTAAAATATAAGTGTATAAAAATTGTAAAAAAAAAGGTTTGCTTTATACTGAAGCTTTGAACTGCTCCTGTTGACTCACAAATGCTTCTATACTTGATATATACAAACTTAAATATATTATTACATTTGAAGTTTCTCCGGAACGTTCAAATCTTCTCATGTTTTATATGCACTCGAATTTTATAAATGCTTTCATAGTAAGTATTTTCTGTAAATGCCTAAGCTAACAATGTGTGAAGGATATTATTCTTCTTCTTCTTACGTTAGGCCTTTTAGACCTGTGTTTCCCTCTCACTCATATGCTTGTAATGCGCATGCTGATTATATACAAGTATATGGGACTTACCTACAGTTTAACTCCAACTCCGAACGGCATATTTTACGAGAGGTTCTTTGGGCAGAAATACTCTGATGGTTTGCCAGACCGTCCCAGAGGAGAACACGAGCGTATATAAATTTTTCCGGTTCTGCCGGGGATCGATCAATGCGCTGTATGCTACACCACGCTCGCGTTCGTGAAGGATATTGTGTAATAAAAATATCTAACGATAGTAACGAATCTCCTCTGGTCCGCTTCAATGAGTGCATATAATGGCATTAAACCACTTTACATCAAACAATTGGTGTCAAATTTTGTAATTAATTTTATTTTATATTTGGAACATCCTATATGTAACATCTAACATGTGATAATTCAGTTTGAAAAACAACCTTTTATATTTGATCGATTATCTTTTACTTTCAGTAAGGTCAATCTTTTTAAATATATTTATTCCGTTTTGCTGATCAACAAATTACTCCAGGTATCCTGTTGTGCTATTTTTGTTTTCTTTTTTGTTGCATCATTTTTGCGAGAGCACTTAAATTTATTTAAATCTCCCGCTTAGTATCGCTACTATCGCCGCTACTCTCGTTTTCTCGAAGTTCGACCTGCCTTTCGAGTTATCATTTCAGCTGATATGGAACGACCGGATATATCATTTCGATGAGTAATCATGGAATTATGCCGGCTGAAAGATAAGCAAAGATATAAAAATGAGGATGCCGAATAAACATCGGTGCGATTCGATCGCCGTAACGATAACTTATCGGCGAGTAATTTTCTTTTTTTCGAAGAAAGCAACCAGATCACTCGCAATGGTCACTACCGACGTCGATGATTTTGATGTTTCTTTTCACAAGTCGACTTAGACATTAAGCACTAATTAGACCGATCATTTTACTCGTGACACGCGTATAGGTGGAGCGTGATAAACCGACATTTACGAAGTCGAGATTTTTTACCGACTTGGTGCCGAAAATCGAGAGAACGGCAGAGACGCGAGAGAGAGAGAGAGAGAGAGAGAAAGAGAACTAATCACCGCCGGTGAAAATGTTTTACACCCGTGCCAAGTGTCGTCTGATCGGGATTGCCCTTTAGCACCCGATATACGTAATACACCGTCTGCACACGCTACCACTATCGGAAAGTTCTTGCGTAAAAGAATAAAAGAAAATCGGCTAGTATCTCCGTGTAGAGTCACCAAGTTGGCCGGCGGTTGGTTAACTTTGCGGCGGTTTGTTAATCGGCGACTCATGAAAAAGAGAGCAGGCATCTCGGCAGGAGAAAATCATTTATCTTAACGACGACGACGACGACGTTGGATACGATTAAACGACCGAAACATGATGTGCAACTCGAGCAGATAGTGACGTCACTCGGTAGACGCGGCAAATTCATGCTGTCTGGGTCACCTCAATTCGCAGTGGAGTCTGTGAGTACATGCGTTTTGTTTGTCGATGTGTATAATCGTCACGCTTCTGAATCTATTGTTTCTCCTTCTAGGAAACTTTGTTGACTGTTTAACCAAAAGTTCGCTTAATCAACATGAGTCAACTACAAACTAATTTGATAGCTGCCGCTATCGGGGCAACTATTGGAGTAATAAGTGCGGCCAGTATTTTTATTTATCATAAGATTCTGGAGAACAAACAGCGTCCTATGATGAATGAGAACTACGAGGAGCTCAGTCGTCGACTTACAGAGTTGCAAGAAGAACTGGAAGCACTTAGGTAATTACAAGTGCAACTGTCTTCTCTTTATTTTATCCCCTTCAGTTTTGTCTGAGAATCCGTTCGCATGCAGTTAGCATGGATCAATGTGCATTCTTCTCGTTTATTTCCACTCAGGCTGCAGCAAAATCAACAGAGAAAGAAGAAACTCAGTCGTAAACGTGTTCCTAATGACAATACATTCACCGCAACGGATAATGATACCGATATGGATGCCTTTTCAACAGCTGGCACAGATGTTGGGAATGATGAGTTCTTCGACTGTTCAGACAGTGAAAATGGCATAAGTGACATAGAAACTAGGTCGGTACATTTTTTCTTCTTTATCGTACCTCCGATATATTGTATTCTCTGTTCAAACTAACATACTGATTTGAAAGTTATTCTGCAAGAAAATTATCCTGTAAGCTTAATCTATATCTATCTCTCTCTCATGAATCTTATATTTGCATGCAGGATATTCAAGTCGGAACTCATCTAAACTTAAGATCGGCTTGACTTATCAGTGTAATTTCGCGTTTCTCTATGTAAAATGTATTCATAGCTCTAAAGAAAGTTGACAGCTCGCAAAGAAGTCATCACGATTGCAAACCTGGGTCTTATTTGTAAGTTCTGAGCTATGAATACAGGCTTTTACCTTGATTTTCCTTTCTGTTATGTTTTTTCAAACTCAAAACGTAAAAGGAAGAGATTATATGTTTAGTGATGCAGGTCAACAGAAGCCACCTGCCCTGGATTAGATTTTACCACTTTGGACACACACATTGAGCAGGAGGAATTCCAGAAGGATATTTATCTTGAGCTACAAAATCTTGTAAACACTTATCCAAATAATATAGATATAGCATGGAGATTCGCCAAAAGTTGTTTCAAACACTCGAACGATATGGACGATCAAGTTGTAAAAGGAACTATTCTTCTCGAGGGTATTGAATTTATATACATTACATTTTTATGCGCAATGCCGTATCTTAGTTACACACTTGTGACCACAATTTATTTAATCGCTATACTTATCCCTTAACGAAACTTAAATTCTGTATTTCTCTTTCCAGGGATTAACGCCTGCAAAAGATTTCTCACATCATCAAACGCCGATCTGCACAAGTGGTATGCCATATTGATAGGAGTGCACAGCAATTTTTTATCAATAAAAGAGAAGATACAGAGCGGTTTTGAGTACAGAATACACATAATGAAAGCCTTAGAGATACGCCCGAATGATGGCATGCTACATCATCTACTTGGTAGATGCCTGTACGAGTTCGCTAAGTTAAGTTGGGTGGAAAGAAAGGTATGCGTAATTTTCAACGGTAGCCGAATGATTCTCGAATAAAAAATTGTAAAACATCTACATTGGGTGATATAATTGATAAACTACTTCATTGTGTAGGTTGTAACCACGTTGTATTCAGAGCCTCCAAATGTCTCGTATAAAGACGCGCTAGATAACTTCGAGAAAGCGGAGACGTTTTCGGACAAAGTGAATCTGGAGAATCAGTTGTACATAAGCAAATGTTACATAGCAATAAGCAATTACGAGCAGGCTATTCACTGGTTAGAGAAGATTTGCGACCCCCTGCAAGTCGCTGCAAATAAAGAGGAAGAGAAAATACAGGACGAAGCTCATAATCTTCTCAACAAATACTCCGTCTATAAAAAAGATAGCTAAAAGAGAGTGTTGATAGATCTGTTATATTCATTCCATACGTTTATAGTATAAATATGTTACAAGAATCAACATGTCACATATATAGATACAAAGAAAAGCGTGCAAACAATTTTAATCATGAAACATATAAAAAGTAGGAACGTCCCGTAAATGGTGTTACAATCGAAAAGTAATCGTTTTTTTTTTTCAAAAAAAAAGAAGTTGACAAAATATCTAAATAAAATTTTTTCAATAAAATTAAAAACAGTTTTGTTCTCGATGAAATTGATCTTAAGAAATTCAACAATATTTTCGCACTATTTTAAGTTTGGATGATACTCAAATTCTAAATATCCAATGATGATTCAGATATATTGCTAAAGTCAAAGTTTGATTGATAATACGAGTAAAATGAATATTTTTCCATCAATTATTATATAATGAGAATTGAGAATAATATAAATTATTGAAAAAAGATACATATGAAGAAAATTCTATATAGAAATTAAATACATTTCGTACCGCGTAGGCCATTGATAGTTCATTCTGAACTTTTCGTTAAAGCCATTTGATATTTTGGTTGTAGAACGAAACAACTATAAAATATTTTAATCATTATTACGAGACACGTATTATTAGACAAATAAAATTTGGCTCGTAAGAAAATAAAATAAGCCACCGGTAGCCTAAATATGGCCTACGTGATGTAAATGACGAGTCACATAAAGTTAGTACGGAACGTGTTAAGTAAATACTTCTTATTATTTTGATAAATAAAATATTTTTATTTATATTTTTATTTATATTTTTAATAATCGCTGTCCAGATGAATTTAATGACATTGATTATTAATTTTTCATTTCTTAATATTATATAATATTATATTAATTTATTTTTTAAGAACAAATTTCTTTTATGTTTTTATTTAAAAAAATAGATTTCCAACTTATTGTTTGTAATTATTTGTTTTTCGGTTGTACTGCCATTTACGGGACTTGTATAATATTTTTAACGTGAATAAAACTTTTATATTTTAATAATCTATATATAGATGATCTCTCGACTACATGTCTTTCCAGTAAAAACATAAAGCAGTATGAGAATAGGCCCATGTCGACGATATATAGCGATTTTGAAGGTTAAAAGGGATAAATTTTAGAATTGTCATTTTGCTGTATAAATATTAGGCCTATTGAGCTTTATTATATTCCTTATACAGATTAAAAATTTAATATTACATACATTATGGTTTGATTTTTATCCATATCCATATCCTAATAAGATAATGTAATACGACAATACAATAAGTGTTTTTAAACGCAAGTGATGACTTTTAATCTTTAAAAATCTTCATCAAAATAAAAAATCTCGGATCATATAAAATTATTTAATTGTATTATTTTACTTTTCATGTATAAATAGTGTAAAACAATTTCAATCATTTAAAATATGAAATATTAATAAATTTTTATTTTCTACTTTTTATGTATATAGACTGTAATAAATATTTAATGCAGAGTTTAGCAGAATTAAAGCATATATATTTGTGTGTGTATGTGTGCTCGCGTGCCGCGTGCGTATGTATATGTATGTACATATGCATATATCTGTATATATATAAAATCGTATTGAATAATTAAGTATTGTTATATGAAATATCATTATATGAAATGTATATTGTAAAAACTAATATATATATATCGTAGTAGATACTAAAATATCGTCGTGATGCTACATTATGCATAAAAAATACTTAATTGGTTGCCAATTGCAGATAAATTCTTCAATCTTTTTATTGAGATCGTGCAACCGTCCTATACTCAACAGATCAATAATGGTCCAACACAGCATCCTCCAGCTTAGTAGTAGAGAACGGATGAGAGAGTGAGGGTGAAAGGGGTGGCAGAGAGAAACCCCTCTGGTAAAGCCAAGAGGAAGCCAGTAAAGACACAGTGTTTCACAAGGAAACAGTCAAGGTCCAATGTCCGTAAAAAGTGTTTCAATTGCACAGTGCACGTGTGAAAGTGAGTCTCGAATACATTGCTTTTATACATAATCTCTTTTTTTCATATTTACCTCAAAAAGAATGAAATTAATTTCAATTTTTCTGCCTTTTTTTATATGTGCATCAGAAGTGCGAAGGTCTCAAGTGCTGTTTTTTTTTAATTCTTATGAAATCATTATTGAAAGAACAGAGAAAGCATTCTCAACATAAATGCGAGAATTCTGTCGCGATATCAATCGTTATCACTGCCAAAAATTCTTCCAACATTTCGAGTTGATAATATATCGTATTTTGTGACTAGGATATTCATTTTCAGATGAAATTTTCAGATTGAAATAAATGTCTGGTTTATAAGAGCTACAGCGGTTTTTTGGCATAACACATTATTTATTAATAGCGATTTGTTACATATATATCACAAATTTTTCTGTCAAATGCTGATCCTCTTCAGAGTATATATTAAAAAATGTTAAATTAAACCGGCAATTAAAAAAAAATCTCAGATATCCGATGGTTAAAATATTTAACGAAACACATATAGTTGTACAACTTGTTAAAAAGAAACCAAGTAGGAATCGATATGTGAATTCCTATGGATATGCATTTCCTTGGATTTCCATGGGAATCCACTCAGAAATTTTCAATAGAAAATATCTTTCATAATGAAAGTATTTATCAAAGATGCAAGTCGATTTTCTTAAGTGTTTATTTGAACTAATGGTATGTTACAACTTAAACACGCCACCAATAAGAAATTTCTACGTTAAGAACTCACACAGCACCAAGTCGACTGTTAGTTGACTGTAAGTTGGCAGAAGAAATCTAAAGTCGACTTCAAAATCAAACTAAATGTCAACTTATAGTCAACTAATAGCTGACAAATGATTTGATTACAGTCATCCGTTAGTCAACCAATAAGCCAACTTTTAAATCAATTTTATAACAACTTAAAGTCGACATTTAGTCAATATTATTATAAGTCTACTTTTAGTCAATTTGTCTTGTCATCTATATTTATTATGAAATTTCTATTTTAATGGTGACATTTTTCAAAAACTTGATCAATTCTATTATGTTTTAATTGTATAATATTAAGTTACATGTAATATAATAAAAGTATATTTCAATGTCATACACGTTCAGTACATTAAATGTTGTTCATCGTTGAACTTCATACTTGGCTTATTCATGTACTTTGTTCATACTGGCTCATATTTTATAAAATCTATTTGAAGGTTTAAAATTATGTTGAAAAAGTCGCGAAATTAAAGACAAAGTGAAGACATTTTATTAAGTTATAGTTTGATGTAAGGTGCCTGTTCATAAAATATACCAATCAAAATAATAAGATTACACAAAGTTCGACATTGTAAAATGTACGCAACAGCACGTGTAAACTAGTTTTTAGACGTTCTTTAGACGTCTCATGACCCGATTTCGGATTTTATGCTCTCCGGGGAATGTTTTCACTTTTACGTCAATGTTTATGTATCTAACAAATAAGATATTTTTACATCAGCTTTCGCAATTTTACCAACGTAACCTCAAACCTTGAACTGGATTGATCCTACAAAAAATAAGCCAATATATAAAAATAACCTAAAGATACTTCGATGTACGTCAACAAGATTATATATTTATATTAACCTCATTTCATAATTTCAATAATAATAATATAGGAAAAAAAGATGATTATACGGTGAATAGTTGTTCCACTATGCTTTTCTCCACAAGGTTAACGGATAGAAGTCACTTGTGCCGATGGCGCTATACAACCGCCCGGATTTTTACGCCAAATATGAATATAAAATAATACCGCAACAATATAAAATATTAAAGTAACTATTTCCGGCTAGCCGAAAATATATCTTTAACACGTACGTACAAACGCTTTTATCGCTTCATTAAAAGGTGACTTTTAATTTTTCGAAACTGGTCGACCCTAAATCGACTTGCGGTCGATAATTAAAGTTGACAAAAAACTATTCTAGAAATAATTAAAAATGAACGCCGATATTTCGTTAATTTAAAAAACCGGGTATCAGCCAGCAATTAGTCGCTTGCGTATTGCGTGACAGTAATTATTAGTGAACAAAGTCCATTATCTGTGGGACGGGTATATTTGAAACTTTTCCTTCGGCTACTTTAGTAAGTTTGTGAACTCTATTCTGTCATTTTCCGCCATATATATTTTTGAATTCAATCGACTTACGTCCTCGATAAACATTTGGACCGTGAAAAATAGCAATGAGTTATGACCCGCGGGCTTTGTTTTTTTTTAAGTATTTTTACCATCGAATTCTTCTGTATTACTTCTGTAATCGTTTACTTTAACTTAACGCACATTACAAAAGGCATACCGAAGAGAGTCGGCATACAATCGAAATGTTTACATAACAAGGACCAAATCTGATTTCCTCCCGTCTCATTTTTAACTTTCACAGCTGTATAAGAGATATTCTTGTTCTCTTTGATCATTTTCAGACTATAATGCGCGGATTTTTACGCGGTATATTGTATTGTGCTCTGTGGTATGGTAGTATAGTAGCAGGCTTTTTATTTATCGCCTGTCCGTCCCTACCGTTGTTCTTGTTCAGCCCGCCGAAATTCCGAAAATTGGGAGACCTCTTATTCTCGTGCTGGGAGCTTTATCCTGCTGTGAGTGTACTGTGCGTGTATAATTGGTAATCTCGCAAATCTCATATACGCAACCTACAAATATTTCGACCGCGCGCTCTTTCAGCGCTCATCGCGGAGACATAATATCTCGAACCGTTTCAGGCCCTGTTGAACATGTTTGGCGTAAAGATCTACGTGTCCGGTGATCATATATTCCCTCACGAATCGGCTGTGCTCGTGATGAATCACAGGACGAGGGTGGACTGGAACTTCCTGTGGGCGGCGATGTACCAAGCGTGCATGCCGCATGTAGCCTGTCACAAATTGAAATTTGTCCTGAAGGATCCAATACGACACATTCCTGGCGCGGGTAACGTGTTCCGTTTCTTCTCCGACGCGACGAAAGCGCGTAATTCGACACGTTCCGAGCTGTATTTACATTCTTCATCTTCTTCCCACCGTTTCTCCACATGCAGGATGGGTAATGCAAATGAACGGCTTCCTTTACATAACACGACGCTGGGAAGAGGATCAAGGCCGGCTGTCGCGTACCCTCGATTACCTGATCGCGTTAGACAGTCGCACGCAATTGCTGATATTTCCCGAGGGCACCGATCTGACGAAGAACAGCAAGGAGAAATCGGACAAGTACGCGTTGCAGCACGATTTGCCGCGATACACGTACACACTGCACCCGAAAACGACGGGGTTCGCCTACCTGGTGCAACACCTTCAGCGAGCGAGCTATTTGGACGCGGTGTACGACCTGACGATAGCGTATCCCGACTTCATACCGCAGTCCGAAATTGATTTGGTCAGGGGCAGGTTGCCGGACGAGGTGCACTTTCATATTAAGCGAATACCCACCGCGGAGATACCGACGCACGAGTCGACGTTGAGGAAGTGGCTGGAGAACAAATGGTCCGACAAGGAGGGAATATTGAAGCAATTTTACGAACAGAAGACCTTCTCCTCCGCTGAAATCTGGCCGATGGCGAAGATGCTGCCACTGCGGGCCGCGTTCGGATTCTGGAGTATATTGACAGGTAGGTTTCTTTCTTCTTTTTTTTTTCTCTCTTTTCTCCCGAACGTAAATTCACAGTATAGAAATAATATCCCTGGGTATCGACCATGTGATTTCCTTCTCCCAGAACGGAAACGTGAAAAATGAACATTTACTTTTCACGTTCCCGCCCCAGGGAAAAATTACGTGATCGGTGTCCTGAAGTGAAATTTCACATTCGCAGGAATGATGGTACTTTTACTCATTATTTCACCGATCTTCCAACTGTGGGCTCTGATACATGCGGCGTTTTTCGTCGGATTGTCGATTTTCAATACGGGCTTTAGTCAGCTTGAGATGGGATGGTACTCGCGTTGGAAAAGCTATCCCTTCCAAGCTAAACGTAGTTAGTCGAGAATATATTCTAATTTCAAGTTTTTTTTAGAAAATTAGATAGCCCTCTTTATCTCTGTGATAAAATATTGTGTATATATAAAATCGGAGTTAGAAGAGAAACGTAATTTCGAGGATCTTGTGCAATATCACGTAATTGTAATATAGTCGTAATATTACTGCACCGTTTTAATCCTTTTACGTTTATATATCTCCACGTCGTAGTTCTGAAAGCACAGTGGTGGCACACAACAAGGTGAGAGTTTTCGATCCGCTGATAATTGAAGTTTGTCCTTCTAATAGTCACACATTACTCTACTTTTGAAAAAGAAAAAAAAAAGATGTGAAAATGAGTGACGCGAACATTTTGATGTTTTATGTCAAAAAATATATATATACATAAAATAGTATTTCTAATAAAAATATATCCCGTGGAAAACGTCTATATTTGTAAAAACATAAATTGTACAAATTTCTTAGGAATTTTCTTATCAAAAGAATAACATTTTGAGAGAACCGCTAGTTTTTACCGCAACAAATTTCTGATAAACGTTGATATAAACAAATGGAATATTGTTATAATGGCGTTTTGAAATATTATTAACAGAGTAATTTTCATATATTAGCGAACGATTTTCATGATAACGAAGAGAAAGACGTAATCATTACATTTCTATGCCATTTTGTTTCCATCCAATTATTTATGAGAAAGAATGTCATATACAGCGTATGAAATATGTCTTTTTAATTAGTGTAAAAGTGATCGTTATGTTTCCTGAATTATATAGGCTGAATGTAAATTGCGGACATTTTATGATATGGAAAATGTATTTAAAAAATGATGTCGTATATAATTATACAAATTTGCATAGTATATAGAAAGTATATATTAGAAAATATTTATTTTTTCGAATTTTTTCAACAAAAAGATTTAGGTCCTTCGACTATTGAACGATTTCGAGTATAAGTAAAAGTGAATTCATGTGCCAAAGAGAGAGAGATATAAGAAATTAGATTAGTTTTATAAAGAATCATCCAGTAAGAATAGTTGTAGAAAGTCAGTATATGTGAGATACAAAGATATCTCGTAATATATATACATATATATATATATATGTTAAATATTTTCTTTACATAATTAGTACCTGGGAGCCGTAAACTCAATCAAATCAATCACTTTCTTTATATATAGCTCCAACAAAGAAATAGAGATCAAGATCATAAATTTTGACGAATAATCTATCTTGTCTGTGTGTACGTCCTCTAGATTTGACTAGTCAATGAGATAAATCGTGTGTTAAGAAATTTTCCTATATACACGTAGACGTTAATCAAATTATCGTGTTATAACATAACGTTGTGAATAATCCTTGAAATTGTTGCATGTATTGTCTCAGCACCGTAATACAAAGTATTCTCTGTAAGAGCACATACACACACACACACACACATTGCGTTCATGTACAATGTTTACTTCTGTAAAATAACAAATATATCACATGGTGTACTAAGTTGTAAAACATGAAAAGAAAAAAAAAAACAACGTGTCATAGAATGTATGAGAAAAATATGTATTCGCTATAATTACATGTGTATGCGTGTGTATTCGAGGTGTGTCAGGTCTACATGTACATTCCACAACACAATTATCGTACAACGGTAACGGAAGGATGTTGAATTAAAAAAATATGTGACAACGGTACGACTAAATTCACTCACCGTTGCAGCAGTAATTGTTCACATGGAATGTACATTTATGACACTTCATCGGTATTACTTCGACAATGATAGATTTGTATAGAGACATTTCATCGGTGGTTTTATTATGATCATTATTATTATTATTGTACAAAGAGAAAGGACGATTTCTTATATACAGATTTGTGAAAGCTACTTTTAATTTCGTAAACTCTTTTTGTAGAAGGGATTGACCGGACTCGGTATAAAATTCGCTTTTAGCACGCCGGCCAGTGGTTTCTTATTCGCGTCGAAAGGTATGGCCGGGCTTTTACGAACCTGTTGAATATATTCCGACGTGTGTTGCTCGGTGTTGCGGTTCAGCACGATCTTCACCTTCTTCTTCGCTGTCGCAGAATTGTTCAAGTTAGTTTGCTGTTTTGTCCGATTCGGCGGTTTCTTTAATGAAGTAATAAAAAAAATAATTTCACACATGACTCGATGATGCATCGCATATCGCTAATAAAACATGTCGTTAAGATTTGTACTAACATTTTTTTTCACCACCGCTTGATCCTTGCATGAAATACCATTTTCCAATATCGTCTTAGCGGTTTCAGGTTTCTTAATCGGAGTTTTCTTAGCCGAAATGCTGCTCGGAAGGATCGGCGCGGGCAAGGCACACTGATCTGCAGATCTATCAGACACCTGCCACTTGCTTAGCGCAGCCGCCTTAGTTTCACAGCCGATATTTCTATTCGATGTTTTCGCATCGTTCGTACCGTTTAATTTGATCTTCTTAACCGTTTTACTTTTCTTAGATATGCTCTTTGTCCCCGGTTTCTCCCCGTTTTCGGTCAATTCAGATTTACTATCAAGTTTATCGCGCGTTAAATTACTCTTTCGCCGCTTCTTAGGAGGCTCCGTATTTGAGTCTGTGTTCGCATCATCTTTTTTAATCGTTCGTTCGTCTCTTTTTCTCTTGTTGTTCACCTTATCACTGTACAGGGATTTCTCAAACTGGATAAGGCGAAGAGCAGCTTTCTTCGGATCCATATCTGCTTTCTGCCAAACGGGATTTCGAACTTTCCTTATCCCAAGAGGCATCCTCCCCTCTGCCAATTCTTTATACCTGGTGATGTAAGTTTCTTTTTAGAAAGATGAAGAGTACAACACAAAAAAAGTGTGAGTCGTAAGGACCAATTGATTAAAAAACAGCACGTACTCTTCCAAAATCCTTGCGAGCTGCCTCCGCGACTTGGCCGTCGATTGCGGATAAAATTTATAATTTACAAGTAACTTGACGATCTCTGCAGGGTTGAACGGAATTTGTGGCAGTTCCACGTCGACTCTACCCGCTCGAGGATCCAAAGGTTTACCAGCTTTGTGTTTCAGAACTTCAGCTTCGGGAGGCCGCTCATCCTCGTTCTCCGAATCATCTTCCGTGTCTGACACATCTACTTTTTTCACGTTATCCAAATACGTGCAAGGAAAGCCAGCCTGTTCGCAAAAATGCGATACGATTGCAGGATATGTTACAAATCACAAAAATATATAGGGATATACTCACATCTCTCCAGGCTTCAAATTTCTCCCTGTATTCGATACCTACGTCCGATTGAAATATGAGGTACCTGAAAATGTGCTTCATGATATGTTTCATTTGACGCTCATCTTTAGTTGTCGCTAAATAAACGACAAACGGTCTAATAAGTTCAACCACAGCTTCTTCCGGTAGATCTCCATCACCGATCTGCGCAACGATAATTTAAAATGTATAATTATCTTCACTGAAATAGCCAAGTTTTTCTATCTTGAATTTTTCGAGTATACCTTTGCGAGCTCCTCCAGATATATCTCTGTTATGTGTAGACTAAGACCCAAGTTAGTCTGCGGACATTGAAAAAGTTTCTCAAGTATTCCAGATATTTCCTTCACCCAACTCATATCCCAGGCTTTATCCTTGCATACTACGAATGTTTGGCGCAGTATCCTTCTAACTAACTGGAGGAAACAAAAAAACACACACAAGGATTATTTATATATGATTTAAAATATTAAAGTACAGGAGAAACAGTAAAGAAATACCATAGAAAATTTGTCTAGTCTGTACTGATCTATGCCAAACCATTCTATGGCAAGTGTTTTTAGAGCACAAGCTGTGTAAAGCATGATGGTGTCTTTCGAGTTAAAACAATGTACTATTTTACTGAGAGACTCCGCTAGTTCTTCTTGGACCAGCATTTTGTCACTCATCCACATGCAATAGAACAGGCCTTTCCATAAACTGATAAA